TTTCTTTCCACATTTTGGATAATCTTCTTGTTCCCTAGCTTTTCATTCTCAAGGAAGGTTATAATCTTTATTAGCCTGCTGTGCAGCGACAAATGAAATGGATTTTGTTTTTGGTCATTGACTTGTAGAATCCCATTTGTAATTTCCTGGACATCACTTTGAAAATACCTCCAGAAGCACTGGTTTAGATAATTTGCGGCTGATCATTTTTTACTCATAAGAAGAAAATACGGGAGCAAACCTTTTGACTTATTCATTAATAAGTTCCTTTTTGTACTTGTGTTTGTAGGTGATCATACCGTTTGGAGATATTGATGAGGTAGTACTCAAGTTATATTTCAGAAAGTAAATTAAATGATAGCTCATATCATATGGCTTATTGGTTCTTTTGCAGATACGTCGGAGTCAACATGCTTTTATAAATCCTGCCATAACCATTATCCTTCGGATGGGTGCTGGTGGGCATGGTGTGCCTCCTCTTGGAAGCCCAGATGGTTAGTCTTCAACCGTATATTTTCATACAATGTGGAGACTTCCTTATCCATTATCCTTGTGCGTATTGCTTGGAGTCTCTGAAAAAAATACTGGAGACTCTTTTGTTGACATAGGTTACTTGTCAAATTGTGCTTTCTATGGTGTCATTTTCAGGTAGAGTCAGATATAAGTTTGCATCATTTTGGAACAGGAATCATGCTATAAGAATTCTGCAGCGTGCAGCAAAGAATCACCATGAGCTTGTAGAAGCTGAGAAGAAGGTATTCTTATGAATTGTACTGTATGCTTCTTTTCTAATTCTATGAATTTCCTATTTGACTTTAGAAAGAAAATATTCTTATCAAGTTTATAAAATGCTTATGTAGCCTTTGTGAACCGAGTTTGCTTTGGTGAAACCGTTATTTATTAGTATTGGATCACTTAAATATGCTGTGCCTTGTTTTTTGGCTTAAGGATCTCTATTTCTCTGTAGTTGTTGCAGGAATACAACCACCAGAAATTTTAGACTGTAGAGCACTTGTTGCTTTATCAATCTAAAGCTAGTCAGTTAGTTAAGTCGTAATACGTGATTGATGGAATACCAATGTACTGGGTAGTGGCTCTTATTGATCCAACTATTGTTTCACATCGAAGGCAAAATGCCAGCTTTTCTGACTCTGCTGTCTGCTCTTGTATTGTATGCTTTAACATACCAACTTTATTACTATACTTTCCCCAATGAATCATTCTGCACCTCTATCTTTTTGGCACATAGGAAAGTGCAGAATCTGCACTACGGGCACATAGTAGCTCTGTCAGAGTTAGAAAAGGTGAATCATTGTCACTGGAAAGCAGTGTTGTGAAAGCTGCGAAGGTTCAACCCTTTATCAAACACGGAGTTCTTGTTGATATACATAATGTAAGGAATATCTTCCTTTAACCTTCCAATTAATAAATTTATTTGCAGATAGTATCTTGTATGATTTTATCAATGCAATTTATATGTTCCCCTTGCAGGATATTTTTCCTTGCACAGCAGAGCAGTTCCTAAATTTATTATTGAGTGATGAATCTAAATTTATAAATGAGTATCGATCTGCCAGGAAGGATACAAATTTAGTTGTAAGTTGAACATCTTTCCCCATACTTTTATATCGTAGATTCCTTTTCTCTCAGTTTGCTATTAGTGACATCTGTGTTACAGCCATTTTCTACTTTTTTTAGTCTGCTTGGTCTGTCATTTGAACCCTGACGCCTTTAATGGATTATGAGGGAATGATAGGATGTCTAAAGTCTAAACATGATAAATAGGATGCTGTTACCAAAATCTGGATGTATTTTCAGAAATCTAGTTGTGAATTGGAACACTAAAGGTAAGAATAAACACTGGTCATCTATATTTTACAATGATCTTGGTTCACACTTAATTATCCGTGTATCCATTTTATACTATTGTTCTCTCTGTTCTGTGTATCGGTTCAGTTATGCAGACTTTGCTGCTATTGTTGTACAGTATCGTAGGTCAAGTATTATTTTTCTTTTTGTCTGCTTTCATGGCTTTATGTCTTTGTCCTGTTAGACCCTACAACAACGGAGCTATACTCACCAACTTATTGAAACTTTTTGTGATGAATGCTCTGTAGATTGGACCATGGCATCCAGCTGATGAATATGATGGTCAAGTGAGAGAGTTAACAGTCAGATCCTTATGTAATAGTCCTATGTGCCCACCAGATACAGCCATGACGGAGTATCAGCATTTTGTTTTATCACCGGACAAGAAAATCCTGGTTCCTCTTCATTTCCTTGCTCTAATTTTAGTCCGTTGCTAGCTGTTTTTTCTACTAGTGCTCTTGTTTCTGTTCACTTGGGGGTAAATATATATAGTATTATGATCATTGTGCAGCATTCTTTGTCTTCATTTTTTTATTGACGTTTTATATGTTGTTTCTATTTCAGGTATTTGATACAGTGCAACAGGCACATGATGTACCTTTCGGATCTTATTTTGAGGTACATGCTGCATGAATAGGCTTCAGAAGTAGCTGAATCACTAGGCTGTTGTATGTTATGAAAAATATGATTAATTACATACCCTATAGGTAGCTCGTTTGATGAGTCAAATTCACTAGTATAGGCTTTGTCCTTTGGTTTCATTGATGGTCATGTTTGAAAATGTAACAAGTCGAGGAAGAAAAGCAGAAGCCCTTTGTTCACAACTTAGCAAACATCATCTCCTTTAGCTCCCGTAATACATCTATGAGGTGTTACTTTCCGGTGACTTTAGTGACACAGTCCAGTGGATCTTGACAGGAGTGTTTTCACATATATTTTAGTTTCTTCCTTGATGTATTTCTCACGCATGTATGTAACTTGTTACTATGGTTGTTCTTCATCAGATTCATTGCTGCTGGAAAATTGAGACCAATGCTGAAAGCTCTTCTACAATTGACATTAAAGTGGGTAGGTTTCCTTTTCTCCTTGTCTGGTTCGTTGCCATCTCAAAAAGGTGCCAAGAATATCAATCCCTGGGTCAATGATTATGCAATTATTAGGTATAGGTATTTCTTATTTGTATATTTGTCATAAATTCAGTTTCTTCTCTTAATTTGTTGGCATGAATTAAATGCATTTTGATCTTTCACCATTTACTTCTGTTGATGTGCCCGAGATTTGGTTTCCACCTTTTTCTCTGGGCATAAATCAAAAGCATTTGACTCGTTTTTACCGTTGGCGATGTGGCTTCTACCGTATGATTCTTTATCTTTTGTGAGAATGATGGGTTCTAATTCTTAAAATATGGGTTTTCTCGCAGGAGCACATTTCAAGAAATGGTGCCCGATGCAGTCCAAAATCAAAGCAGGAGCCGTAAACGAGGTTGGGTTCAATCCTGATTGAGCTCTCTTGCTCTTCTTGTCCATTATTTCGTTACAAGTTTTACCTACCACAACTGTGGTTAAATTCTTAGTTTGCTTCACATCTTGAACACGTTGCAAATGATCTCTCCGATTCGCAACTATGATGATGACATGCAGTACAAGAAAGAGGTGGATGTTATGTTGACGGTGGCTCGTTCGTACATCGCCTCACACACATGCAAAGACTCTGATACCAGTGATATGCATTCGTCCTCTGCTGCCCCTGCTGTAACACAAGAAGGAAACTGATTTTGGGTTTTTAGACGCTCACATCCCAATGCTCCTTTCTGCACCAAGCATTGTAAGTAAGCTTTTTTACTCTCTTTTTTTAAATGCCTGGGGGTGCTATGTTGTACAAGGGCTTTCCTGCTTCATACTCCATCACCGTCTTTTTCTGACTGTGGATGGTTCATGTAGCTCGGATGTTGTAACTGAAAAGAAAAATGTCACTGCACCCTTGTCTTCCTGAAGAGGAAAGTAGGTGGTGTGTGTCTGTTTTTCGGTGTTGGATCTCGAAATACTTCCTTCACTCTTTGTTTTCTCTGTCCCCTTTTGTATATCTATAGGTTGAGAGCGCCTTTTCGCTCTTTGATTAAAGGTGATTGCTGTTTTCTCTCTCTCATGAAAATAACTTTCACACCTTGAGTTTGAATGAGGCTAACATCAGCAAAAATCCATGGCTTACGTACCCGGATTGCTCTCCCTTGTGTTTGGTGCATTGTATGAATGTTGGAGAAGTAGTTCATGTAATGTGAAATTGCCAGAACAGGAGAAAGAACCAGTGTAGTAACTGTGAATAAGCATCATGATAGTTGAGTAAATATTGCATTATTTCGTCCATCGAATTGTTGGAGTTGGTTTATTAGGATGCTTATTGTTCTCATCACTCCTTTAGTATATTAGAAGTGTAATTTCAACTTACTTGTTGGCTTACCTGCGAGCATATTGTAGAGCAGGGCACGAGTGTTCTTTTCTCCTCGCTACGTTGTGTGTCTCTCGTGTTCTTGGCACGTTTTTTTTCTTTCTAATAGTAATGTGCTTATGGTTAACCGCGATTCTCGATCCTCCAAATAGACCACGAAGGGCGCGGGATGCCCCTATGATAGATTGACATCAATTGTTCTTTTTACAAGCGTGTTTATGGCCGTTGTTTCTTTTTTCTTTTGCGAGGGAAATGATAGTCATTCATTCCATAGAGTAACACGAAAAGGCTTGTAAAAAGCACTATGGAGAAAAATCTTGTTTCTGTTTGTAGTTTAGAAAGATGTTGGGGGGTAACCTCTATGTTGCGATCTGTATGCAAATTGCCATTGTGGCTTGAAGGAAGTTGAATTCGAGTATATATCATTGTTTCAACTCTATACGTATCGTGGTTGCAAAACTCGTATACGTATCATGGCATCCGGCTTCGACGAGCATTTCTAATCCTAGCGCGAAAACTTGTGAGGGTTTGGAAATTTTTTGGGGCAAAAATGTCAAATTGCCAAGTTAGGATGACAAATTTTAAAAAATTTAGGAACGTTAATTAGTGCCTCTCTAAAGTATTCCCACTTCCAAAATAGCCCCCATGCCAAACAAAACAACCCCTGAAAAAATGCTTCCAAAAGATACGTCATCCAGACATCCACTTCTCCCACTGGAAATTAGCTGTCAAAAGTCCCATTTCTTTTTTCCTCCATGAAATCAATCAAATTCAAACAGAACAAAATACAAATAGTCCCTACTGAAGAAAAGACAAAACAGCTTATTCTTTCACCATTTCTTTCACTTTCCCTTCTCCATAAATACACAAAAACCCACCGCTTCGCCTCGAAACCTTCCCTCTCCGTCTCTTTATTTCGCGCGCGCGCGTTTTCTTCTGCTCTGTAATTCAGTTCGGCGGACATCACCGGAGAAAGCTTCGTGCTCTAGAAGAAGCATTTAGCCGAAGCAGTAGTTGAGGAAGGAGGGAAGTAAAGTAGAGTCGGTCTGCTTCGCGTTTGGCCGCGGAGGCTAAAGTTGTGACTATTCACTGGAGGCAGAAATCGAGCGGCGGCCGATCATCTGATACCTTCTTCAGTTCTTCCCCGGCGGGATCTTTTGCGGTCAGTTTCCTCTCCCTTCGTTCGTTCCCGCTTAATAATTGTGGTAGTTAATTAGTGTGAAATCGGCTTAGCTTAAATGCTTAATTAGTACCGCTCGTTTCATTATTACCCTTCAGTTGCATGGTTTCCCGCCGCAGGGCCCCAAACACGACCAAGGCCAAGAAAAGTCATCGCTACTTTTTAATTGTTATGATTAGCTTACTATAATTTAGTTTAACTGATTAATTAGTTTATTATTATTGAAACGCTAGTGTTTGTTGAGTCACTGGCTCCATTATTTCCCCCCGTATCCACTCCCGTGTGCTAGCAAATCTTATATTAATATGGTCCATGAAACCGTACCGGGTATCGTACTTGAAAAGTCAGTGGTATGATATTTTATGATAAAATCGTGGTTTTATCGTAGTTGAACCGTTAGACCGTTAAATACCGCCTACCAATTTAGCCTTCGATACTGGTATTTCGTGGTTGAACCGACGGTACGATATACTTTCATGGACCATGATCCATATTACTGTCTTGAAATCAAGATTTTAGATTTAAACTCCCATACAACAACCACCTGATTTATGTGAATGGTGGGGGCACGACCCATCAAATTGTCTGCGTTTTGATTCTTTCACCAGAAATTTCTGTCCCTTTGGCCTTGTTTTTCCTTCGCTACAGGGAATTTAGACTGCATTTCTCATGATGGGATTTGCATTAAATTATTATTAATATCAAAGAACTACTCTTGTCTCCTAGTATAGTATTTTGGCCATATGTGTGTCATCTTGTTCTTAAATGTTGAAAGGGTAGTTATAGCCAAACAAATGTACATGAGAAAACATCGATATCCATAGCTGGGACTCAGAAACCGGGATCGAAATGACCCGAAAGCCAGCTACTTTACTGTTCGACTTCGACCACGTTTTATCGGTTTACATCCCATACGATGAGAAGCAGTAGTGTAATCTATACCATGATAGATGTGTTCAGATATGTGAACATAGTTGTTTTGCCTATTTCCATCATTTGATTAGGCAGGTTTCATGCACTTACAGCTGTATATGTAAATGCTATTGTCAAACATTGAGCAGAATAGGACGCCTTTAGTAAAAGCATATCTGTACTATAGGATTATGACATATGGGTCTGACAATTTGGCAATTAGTAGGTCATGGTGGTTGCTTGCTTGCTTTTCCTTTCTTGGCTGGTTTCTGGTGAGATCAAAATCGATTCCCAATAGGATTGATTGGTCAACAACCAATTGTCTATTTCCTTTTGAACGTCACCATCATTTTCCCACACGGCTACTGTGTACTAGTAGCAGTTTTCCTACCACCTGTTATCCGCGTTGGATGATGCTTCATTTCCTTGACTCCAATGGATTACCTAACTCGTACCACCCTGTTTGGATGTTTGCATGTAATGGTAATAATGAAAATAGAAATGAAAGTGGTTTTCTTATTATTATTGGGTAGTAACTATACTATATTTTTCATGATGAATCACGACTTATTTTATATTTTGAAGATGGTATAAAGTACATTTATTGTCTAAGCTAGAAAGTAGTGAAGAAGAATGTGGTGTATATTGGGTTTGGAATCAACATATGCAAGTAAGCCATTCTTTCCTCTGAAGACTGAAAGTGACCTTCATGCTGTGAAGGGAATGTCGTTCATTCTCATTCTTTGCATCAATAGAAGGGCTGTTTTCCTTTGATAGTAAGAAGAAGAGTACAGCACGCTTGGCTTACATTAATGATCTTACACTAATAAGCTGATAACTTGTTGAAACTAGTAGTTTTTGCTTGCACACTTTGCTCTCTGTAAATGGCTTTAACCTGACATGACCATGACTAGTTAACTAGCTTACTGCAATTTGTTTACTTTTGCATCGACCCCGTGTTCCATTGATGATCTCTTTCGTCGTATTTATGCAGGGTAAGGAATAAGGCATACAAGTATACAGAAAGGATGATGGAAAATAAACGAAGTCCTTGCTTTCTTGACCAAGGGAATATCACTTCTCTATCAACCAAACGGCACAAGGCTGGCCCTCCAATCAAGGTTTCCCCTTCTTTCTCCCATTTTAACTTCTAATGGATTTCCCAACCTGGTGAATGGATGGTGTCAAATGCTACATGAAAAAGATGATTTTAGATGATGTTTGGATTAACTACTAAGTGTTTTCTGTGTTGAAAAGTACCCTTTAAATGAGTACATAGTAATCTCTTTCGAAATGCTTATGCTCTTTGATTTTGAAATAGCAACTAACTGCTTGACTTCTCTTATGCTTATGCTCTTTGATTTTGAAAATGCTTGTCTTCTCTTTCTACATCACTAATACAGGACCAGAAAGAGAAGTTTGGTGAAAGGATTGTAATACTGCAGCAGCTTGTTTCGCCATATGGAAAGGTACATGACTATTGATTCCCTGGTAACCGGTTTTGTATGTTCTTCATGTGTGGATGGATTCTTTGCAACTTGCTCCTAGGATAGCTTATATATCACCCACGTCTTCCTCAATGCAGACGGACACTGCATCAGTGCTTTTGGAGGCAATGCAATACATCCATTTCCTCCACGAACAAGTTAACGTGTTGAGTGCTCCATATCTCCAAGCTACACCGCCAACTTATACCCAGGTAACCGCATTTTTGCTTGAATTTCGATCAACTCGAGCCAGCCCGAAACCTCTCCAAACTTGTGAATGCTAGTATAGGAGCACAGTCTTTTGTCTTGGAACAACCATTTTCCCCTCCAGCAAATGGTAATTGTTTGTACATCAAGTTTCTAATGTCGAAATGCATGACTAGCACCATGTTTGTTTCAAATCTCTTCTGCACTCGAACATAGGAATGAGACTCCACTTTTGCTTAAATTTACAGTTCGTTGAACACAACCACTGGTTTCCTCCTTTTTTTAACAGGATTTGGATGAATACAGCCTGAGAAGCAGAGGACTGTGCCTTGCTCCAGTGGCTTCCACAGCTGGAGTGGCTAGTAGCAATGGAGCAGATCTTTGGGCTCCAATCAAGCCCAACCCACAACTGCACTGACTCATTCTCGGCCCATAAGCTCCAGTCCAAGTTTCATCGCCCATCCAAGTTCATACAAACAGAGAAAGAGTGAGATGCCCTTCCTTTTGTAAGAGAGTAAATTTTGTACAAGGAAAGGTGCAATTTTGATGAGGGCAGAGCAGAAACAGTGTAGCTTTGATAAAAAGGAATAGGAAAGGGTGATCTTTTAGTTCATATCTTGAGGGCAGTGGAGTATAGTGCATCAATTATAATAGCTTTACGTGCAAGGTTTATCTGAATTGAGCGTGTACAGGTTGCTCTCTCCTAAATCCTAATCAATGAGATGTGAAGATATATGGAAATGAGTGGAATTATCAAGCAATTCTAGAGATATTTAAACCACAAATCATAGATTATTTTTGTTTAAATTTATACGTCTTGTTATTTATTTCGAGACGAATTGGATAATCAAAATAATGATTATGAAATTTTGTGTATCGTATCGAGAGACTCTCTGGTTTAGGAAACCTAATGAGACAATATAATTTTTAAAAGGAAAAATTATCGTCCTAATGGCTTCATACCCCACTCATCCTTTATCATCCTATTAAGTGATTTGTATTCTTACTATCTAAGTATTCCAAAAATCTCTTAATTATATATTTTATGCTTAGAAATTAATTAAATACTTTAAATTTTGCAAAAGAAAAGTAAGACAAATTAAAAATCATTGCAATCAAAAGGAAAAGAAAAGGAGGGAACAAATTCCGCGGGAAAAGAAATGTACTTGACTTGGAGCGTAAATAGTCGAACCTAAGAAGAAGAATCTACTAATTAAGTGGCCCAATCGGAACGAGTCCTAAACTTTAGTGACCCTGCAAGCAAATTTTCCGGGATCATTTTCTCCTCTGTTGATCGACTCGAGAAAACAAAACAGTGAAAAGCGGTTTTCATTTGTTGCTTTCTTCAACTGGGTTGCTCGACACGAAACTGTGCGTGAACGTGCGGAGAAGAAGACTCTGCGATCGCCGCCGCGGAGTTTTCCTCTCGTGAAAATGGACGACGAGGTGGTTCAGCGAGTGCTCCAGGAGGGTGGCCGCGAGTTTCTTAGACAGTCTCCTTCGACTTCTTCGTCTTCGTCTTCTTCCTCCATCCTTCAATCCCTCCCTCTCCATGTGGTATGCTTCTCCTTCTCTGTCAATTGCGGGATCTCGAAGGCGGGATGACTATTACGTTTGACGTTTGGTTCATTTGAATTATCTCTCGTTTGGTTTTAGTCCTTTGATCATGGTTATTACTTGCTCGTGAAATCGGTTCAAGAACTTCGGGAGAAGAAAGGCGGTGTAGTTACTGTCGGTATCGGCGGTCCTAGTGGCTCCAGCAAGTCGAGACGATTTCTCTCCGGGCAAGAGTAGGTAGTTCGTAGAAAAGTGGTCTTATGCTTGGTGATTGTTTTTTCTTTCTGTTCTGTTTGCTTGTTGTGGCTAAAGCTTAGCAGAGAAGGTGGCATCTGTCATTGGGTGTATTGTTGTATCAATGGAGAATTATCGGAATGAAATTGACGACGCGAATGGTTTGGATGCTATTGATTTTGATGCATTGGTTCGTAACCTGGAGGTGTGCATTTTTATCGTTCTATCTTCAGTTTTAGTAATGGCGTGCTACAAATTTTATTACATATCATTCCGGATTTTTTCATGCAGGTTTGAGTTTTCATTGTTTGCTCAACTTCTGTTTTACAGGGGTTTCGATGGGTTATTCCTTTTAGTGTTTTGTTAACGTGAATCAGCTTTCCTTTTTATCAGGTTGGTGGAGTTCATTTTAGTCTTCTTTCCAAGGTTCGCTATGATATTGGAGATTCTTGCTCATTGGATTACCTTATTGACAGCATTTTCCCAATGTTTAGAAAGCATATAGAACCAGATCTTCATCATGCACAGTGTTGGTGCCTATGTATCGTAAAACTTAATCACGGCTCTGCTTGTACTTGTTTTATGTTCTGATTGTGTTTCTGGTTCTCTGCAGATTCGGATAAACAACAGTTTTGTCTCATCATTTCGAGAAGCAATCTACAAGCTGAAGTGTAGAAGTGAGGTTGTTTTCATCACTAGTACAGATTGCATCTGTAGTATTTTATCCAGCTCTAGTTTATTGTGCTAATGACCTAGTTGGCTACTTCCTCATCTGAAACTTGAGGAGAAAATAATCTCTTTTCAATTGTAGCATAATACACCAACCAAAGATTTGCAATCTTAATTTGTTGTCACAGTCATCTGGTGGATCTTCTTATGCATTTCAAGGAACTGAAAGACAAATAGACAAGTACGTGTTTATTCAAATCACTTGCTTACTTGCAGATGTTGATTAATTTGACTACTCTTAATTCTCTTGCAAACTTACTAACTTACTCTGTTTGGTATTTCTGTGGCTTGTAGTTTCATCCGTAATAGGCTAATACAGTTGTTGTCCCTGTAATTTTCTTGAAGCAGCAGTGATGACGAAATCTAATACTTGAGTTATGAGTAGCGGTGTTGGATGGGCCGAAAAACTTGAAGGCCCATTATTATCAATATCAGCCCAATTCTTTATCATCGTGAATCATTCACTATCGGCCCAATTATTATTTTATACCTTTTTTTTGTGTGTTTTGTTGTTGTAAGTAATAAGTTGATACACAATTTCTACTATTGTTCGAAGGACATAGCTATGGGTTAGAATTTAGGAATTGTAATGGAGCAGGTCCGGGCGGATTTCTTGGTACCAAATTTTTTTTGTGGTAGGTCGGGTAATTTATTACGGGTCGTAGGTCGGGACAGGTCGACTCAAGTCGACTCAATGAGTATGCAATTTATATGAAAAATATTAGAAATATTCGTTATTTTTATTATAAGACCAAGAAAACAAACAATATTGTGATAAATGTAGTTAAATTATTAGAGAAATTGAGGTTTTCACTAATTTACAACTTTATTATAGCTAAATTATGATGTAATAAGAGAAAAATCCTAAATAATTTGATTAAAAATACATGTAATTTAATTTAGACAAGAACGGGTCGAGAATGGGGAGAGTCAGGGCAAATCGGATCGATGAGAGTATCCAAGCCCGCCCCGTCCCGTCTAGGAAGCGGGTCGGACCAGCCCAAAACAAGCCAAACAGGTCGGGTAAAACGGGTTGAGTAGAAATTGTCAATCCCTAAGTTAGATGATGATAGCGAGATTCCTCGATATAATAGGAAACGAACTTAATTGCTTCCGTGATTGAATATTGGAGGCATCATCTTAGGAGGCTAATTGTCTTCTTCTGGAAGCATTGGTGTGGAATAAGCCAAGTTTTGGATTCCATCTTATGTTCATTTGAAGCAATCAACAACCAAATGATCATTCTAAGGTGGTCATTTTCTTGCATGGCTCCATAGTGCAATGACAATTGAGTATCAATTCCAAAGGGTACCGTGCAATTTTTCTCGAAAGATCAATTTCTTTGAATTTTGAAGGCTATTAATCACGGATTCGATTTGACATCGATTAGTGTTCACCGATGATTAATTCTATTAAGCATGGATCATAAACTGGAGCTTAATGCACACACCCATATAATTATAACAAGAACGGTTTGGTGAGAAAATCCTAGACACTAAACGATGGATCACTAGATAGTAAGCAAACCAATCCAAGGGAGAGAAGTCGAGAAACGGTGAAAGAGAGGTATCATATTTGGATGGGACAAGATGGAGATGGAACTAGGGCAATTTTATGCTCATCATCTTGACATGTAAACAAGAAAGATTATATATATATATTTTTATATAAAAGAGATTATGATCACCAAGAAAACAATAGAAACAAGTCAAATAGTGCTTAAAATGTGTCATATATATTGCGAAGTATCAAAATTTGCTGGTGAGTTTGATCTCTTTTATCTGCAAAACACATAACTCTCTTGTTTCGCAGAATGGTTGCTCGTCAAATAACAAATAACGATTTTCTTTTTCGTTGTTCCCCACCATAAACCCGACAACTTTAGCATCATCAAAACATCAAAGAATACAAAATACCACGAAAAAAAAGCTAGAAAAGATTCCACACATGATTCATTTTACGACCTCCAGCTATACATACATTGATATCCTACTCCGATCCATACATGTTTGGATTCTTACAACATTATATCTATCTACTCCATCGATATCAATCTGTATGCTTACCAAAAATGACCTGCAAGCAAGCTCCATCTAAAACAAATTCCTCCTCTCATAAGAAAGAAAAATGTGTAGTACTGTGTAGTACTGTAAATGTAATCTTTGTCTTTCTAGGGTTTCCAAGCTGAAGCCCAAACCACGGGCTCATCCTTCCAGGTCAAGAAAAGACCAGGCGTTTGATCATCACCACCACCATTACCATGATCATTATTACCCTCATTATGATCAAAACCATGATTAAGAAACAGATTACTGTCCCCTCCTCCTCCGCCTTGCTGCTGACCACCCGCTAATCCCGGCCCTTGATCCTGTTTCCCATTGTTGTTATTATTATTATTCACCAGCTCCCACCCGGTCCGATACCTCTTCAGCAGCGCCTTGACGTCATCGATGACGTCATCGCTGAACCCTACCGGCGCGAACCCTCCTTCCTTCATCCTTCCCGCCCACTGCCTCCCCCTCTCCCTCCTCTCCCACTCCGAAACGGCGTCGTTGTTACCGTCTTCGTCGTCGTCGTCGCACGCCAGGACCCTGACCATGTTCCTCCCGCTCTCCCGCTCCAGCATCAGCCGCTCGTTGCTCGTCGCCGCGAAGCTCTCCTCCAGCATGTCGAAGTACACCGTGTAGTAACGCAGGCACTCCTCGAAGCACCCCACGAAATTCCCCTCCCCGGCGGCGAAGTCCGCCTCCTCCTCCACCACCGTCACCACCCTCGGGGAGAGGGATCGGAACTTCTCGATCGCCGCCGCCCTGTCCGATCCCCGCGGCAGCTTCCTCATCGCCCCCACGCAGTTCACCGCGACCGCCGCTCCCGCTGATGTCCACGTGGCACAACACACAAAGTAAGTTTTCAAACTTCATAATATTATACGCTAACTTCTAATATATGAGAATGAGAAAACACTACTGGTCGGTAATAGTCTAATTCAAACCCTACGATTTACTTAGTTTAGCATTCTCATAAGAATCGAACCGGATCGACGGGTGGCCAGCAGAACCACTAAACCAATTATTATAGCGGTTCGGTTCATTTAATTGGACGATTATAATATGGACTGAACGGTTTTTAACAATTCGACATGCAACTAGATGAACCTCCCCGATTTAACTGGTACGCTGATTTTATGAACGTTCGCAACCATTGAACCATACCCTACTAAATTTTCCGATTCACCATTCAGTCCGTTTATGAAAATAATTTTTTTTATAAATAATAACGGACTGATTCGTTGAAATATATCAAAATATAAATATATACGAAAAAGAAAAAAAAGTAACACACCTAATTTGGAGTCGTGCGTGGCGTTGTGGTTGACCGCGAGGGCGAGCTGGTCTCCCGTGAGGTCGGCGAGCCGTCCGGCGACGGCGCGGAACTCGAAGGGCACACCCATCAACCGGGCGAACTTCTCCATCCGCTGGCCGATCTCCTTCATGACGGCGGCGGCCGCGGCGGGGACCACGACTGTGAGCGTGAGGTGCGGGGTGTCGTCGTGGCGCGTGGCGAGGGACTCCAGCAGGGTGGGCCACTGGGTGCAGAGCGTGCTGCCGAGGTCGATGATGTGGATCCGGGGCTCCCCGTCGAGGGCCTCGAGGATGGCGCCGTTGGCCGCCACGTGTCCGAAGGTGGTCCAGGGGCTGACCTCCTGGAACTTGAGGACGTGCTTGCGGGCGGAGTCGAAGCTGTGGCTGCGGTCGGCGACGGAGGAGAGGGTGCGGTGGCAGCGTGGGCCGGAGCGGGTGGCGCGGCAGAAGAGGGCCTGGAGGAAGTAGGCGGCCAGCTTCTGGTCGGAGTCGCCGTAAGGGGAGGAGAGCTCGTTCAGCATCCAGAGGAGGTGGTGGATGCGGGCCGTGTCCTTGTCGGCGATGGCGCGGGCGCACTCACGGAGGAGCGGCGCCGCCCATTTGTCGGTGGAGCCGCCGTTGGGGGCGGCGACGGCGGTGGGATCGGTGGTGGTGGAGGTGTCGAGGGGTTGGGTGGGAGGGAAGAAGGAGTGGTGATGATCTTTTGGTGGGAAGAGAGGTATGTCCATTTCTTTCCTTCTTTCTTTGAGTTGTTGTTTCTCTCTCTCTCTCTCTAGACTCTAGCTAGCTATCTCTCTTTGAGTTATGGAGGATTAGGGATTTGATTAACTTTAATTAGTCTGGATTATTACAATTATGGTAGATGAGAGATGGTGAGGGTGCTATGTAAATGAGAAGAGGGGGGGATCAAAATTGATTTAGCCACCACTAGTTTTGATAATGATATGTTATATATTGTTGAGGTTATTTCAATACATATAATCAAACCAAATTACTATTACAATAAACTAGGATGGCAAATTAGTAGTGATCAATGAGTATTTTTGAGATTTTACCCCGTGATTCCAGGGTAAAATAATTAATGTGTTATCGACATGTTAGAATATACTTATATTAGGGACGATTGTTATGTATTTGAGATGAGATCAAAATTTATTGAATAGTTTCGATTATGATTTCATTGGATTCCTATAAAACTTTGACTATGTTTTTCAATCTTCTATACTCTTCATCTCTTGTTCATATTCAATCATGGCATTTGTAAGATTCAATCATCTTTACATATAGTAAGAAATTATATTTGATAAGCAATTAACATTTAATATAAAGTGATGTAATCAATGTTGGAATTCTTGCTGGGTTATCTATAAACTATCCTCTTGTCTATTCATATAATTTGAAGTTTTTTTTTTCTCTGTGTGGCAGATGATAGCTAGGTTTTATTATTGGGAAACTGACTAGAGTACAAACCTTAGGATGGAGAAAGCTGTATATATGGTTTTTTGTTCCATTTCTTCTCCTTTTCCTCCTTCTTTCTCTATGATGAAAAATTAGTTTAATTCATTATATATTTTTCCAATAAGATTCTTATATATCATGATCCTTCTACTATTGTAAATAAATTAAATTAATAAATAAACTTCAAATGATTACTACCTTGTTAGGAAAGGGAATAAAAAAAATTATGAATCCAGGACGGCCATATATGAACAAAAACAGTCGGTTTTGTTAATGAATTTCCTAAGCAACTTATTGTGGGAGGACGACATTGCAAGTTGTGACTTAAGAATTCCCAACACAACTCTATTAGGGACAAAATTTAGCTTTGTAACTATATATGATTAGTCCATTTTTCATATTTAATTTATAGAGACCAGAAGAGTTGAAAGACCAAACTAGCTCTCAATGAAAAAACTAATAGAAGGGTAAATTTGAAAAAAATGTGACAATAAAAAGTAATTTTTGACGTAAAACATATAATAGAGACCACGTTTGAGATAAATTTCATAGCAGAGAGGAAATTATGTTATTAACCATGGTATATACCCATGGTAGCAGACATAATTCTAGTAGTTATTGATTAAGGGGTGTTTAACAGCGAAAAAACATGTGTACCCACACAAAAAAACCCAATTCGGAAATTCACTAGTATTTACATGAGGTATATCATATCGTTCAACAAAAAATTGACTCGTGTTAAAACAAAAAATGTTGGGAACACTAACACTACCGATGTATCTGCCCCATTTTACGAGCAATTACATAATATTTTCCATATCATCTACCTATTGGGAGAATCAAAGTTGCTTTCCCTACTCCGTTAATTTATGACGGGGTTATGCACTTAGATTGTGAATTTGTGATCACATAGTGTCTCATATCAGTGCGGTGTGCTATGATCAACTTGATACTTTTAATTTTGAAGATTATGATCAACAAGCAAAATCTTTTTTCTTGCAATGAATCGACAAGAATGCAATCTAGTATGAAAAAAGATCATATATAATTGGAAACGGACAAAGAGAAGCAAATGAAAATAGGGAAGCAAAGCAAGTCAATAAATTGACATAAAGAGAAATTGAGAAGGATATACCTAGAAGAACAAAGGGACCAAGAAGAGACATCAATTGGTGGCAAACACAAAATACCAACTACTACTTCATCCCATGTTTCCCTTTTGGGTTGATCCATATCTTACATTTACATGAAGGAAATGGAGAGAGAAGTATTTGAATAGTTAATTAAACACTAAGGCTAGGATGAGCCCAAGTAATCATGTTTCATGTTGAGACTAATATCATACTTCTGATCTTTAGTTTGAATGAACAATTCTTTCGATTTAATTAGAAGTCTAGACTTGAAAACTTAAGAACGTAACTATGAAAAGTTTGTACCATGCTAGCAGACTTATTCCAACTTGATATTCATTGAACAAGTCCATGGCAATGAAAAAGAAACTGAATAAACCTAAATTAATGCACTAATTATTGAAAGAGACATTTGTATTGATAAAATGATCACTAAATCATAGGGTTGGCGACACGGCGTCGTACTAGTACTGATGTTAATGTAGGGATGAGAACGCCCATTTGTTCCGACTTGGGGGGAAATATCCATGACTTGGCAACAAAGGGAAACAAGGCGAGTCAATAAGGAAAACATCAATGACCGGACTGCCAGTAAAAATGAACTAATAAGTAGTTACAGCTCTTCAGCACTAGCTAGCATCGCAAACAAGAAAAACCAAAAGAAAGAGAACCTACAGGGACCAGAATCAGATTGCATTCCTCTCATTTTCGCCTCGTCTACGGAGCTGCAGTTCTTACACTTGCACTTTATGACTTCACAGCAACCTGCTGAGGGACTTGATAAGTGCTTTCAAATTTCGCCTGGTAGCCTCGTCGCCAGTGAATCCCAGAATGTCTGAGCTTATATTCTGATGAGTTGACAAGGGGGGATCGAGAGCAACGATTAGAAGATTAAAGACATGAATCTCAGTGATTTCGTACCAAAGGGATTTGGATTTTCCAAGCTCACCTCCACATTCTTCAAAGTGAAAATGAGGCTATAAATTGATCTTTGAATTAACTCGGTGTTCTCAGGCGTCAAAACTGATGTATGCGCCTTTCTGCAAAGACAGAAGTTTCAAAGGCTTGTAAGCTTACAGTAGGCCATCAAAGTGGCACTTGACGCTTATTTGGTATATGACAATGAATATCAATATGCATTCTACTCCACATTTTTTAATCAGCAGTCAAACGGGCAACAGTTTAGCAGCACATTTGATATTCAACCAGGGGAAGAGAGTAAACTAGGCCCCAAACATGCACTTCGGATGTCTTATTACTAGCAAGATGAATAAATTTCAGCTTAATTCACCTTAAATCGTCAGAAGCTTGAGTAAGGCTTCTAGTTAAAACCTCAACTTCCTTCACCAGGCCGGTTTCACGGACCTCAGCCAACAGAGGCTTGACATCTTCTGCCATGGCTTGGATCTGAGAGATCACTACATCAGAACGGAAGTGTGTATTATTATACATTTAAGTACTCTAAATACATCCAAGAAGGCGATAAGCTTTTAAATGAAAAAATCAACGGTAGTATAAGAGATAAGAAGGGCAGTTCATGCCTTTCCAAGCAGCGGTTGTGCCTCTTCAATAACAGCAGCCACACGCTCAGCCAGTGAAAAAGTATTGGCAACACCGATTTCCTCCATCTCACGTCCAAGACGAGTGAATATGCCGACCAGAGCATCCAAACTTACTCCTTGATGTCCCTTTAACCTCTGCCTATCACAAACTATAAGGCCTTCTTTGGCACAGTCTGAATCAAGAGGTCCTTTTAAGGGTGTTGGAATAGGGTCACGAGGGGTAATATCGATCATGGTTTCCATTAGGAGACCAGACTGATTAACCTCAACCAGAGAATTCCTCGGTATGATTATTTTATCATCTTCAACCTGCAACACAAATGGATTTAACATAATTAATCAGGCAAATAAAAAAAAGTAAAATCTTATCAACATGCAAGCCACTTCTGAGTCAACACACCTCCACTACTGCTTCGATACTCCTCAAGGAAGGGTTGACTTTAACGACATTGCCAACAGTCACCCCTCTAATCCTAACTGGTGTCCCAGTGCAAATACCACAAGCCTGAGAAAACTCTAATACAGCCTGGTACTTCCTGAATTTTGACCGAAGCTGAAACCCTCTCAACCAAGCCAAACTGAGTGCGAGAAGCACTGCACCTGATACAAGAAATAATCCCACCCCACCTTCCCAAATGCTCTTCCTTCCAAACCCGAAATCACTCAAAGGTTTAAGTGTCTGCCTCCATAGAGTTTGGGGAACCTCCAAAACAACTGAAAGTGGGCTCTTAGTACTGGAAGATGTAAGAGGCTGGTCGTGTCCTGTGTCTGAACTCATAGCCCTTATCAGTGGCATCCTCTTTTGAGACTTCAGAGGAGAAAAAGGCATAATGTTGGAGGAACGATGGGGGACAACCACCACGGATGAAGACAACATAGTCGAGCAAACTGTGGCAGTGGATGAAGACGGCATAGTGGATCAAACAATAGAATTCAGGGTTCAATTAGAAAAATTGACCAGAGAGTTCACACCGCTCTTTGGGCTTTCGTTGGTTTAAACAGTTCACGATAAACCTGCAAGTAAGAGGATAATATTCTAGTCAAGCACCAAAGCTCAACTCAAAGCATCCAACTTAAATAAAAACCATTTCAAAGTTGGTTTTCCAACCAGATTTCTGATCCTTTTCTACTTCGATTTAAGGCTCAGATATCGACTGGACTGCTGAAGAGCAGGAAATGTTTGGAAGGACAACTACAAGCATCGCCAGCTCGTTTTATGCGGTTCAATAAAATCACAATAGCAAGTGCACAAAAAGAAGGGATAGTGACAGAGAAACCATCACAATTGATAGAAGATGAACTCCAATACCCTTGGAGAACGCATGGAGAAAAATTATAACAAGAACTCTATACCTAATTCTATACCCAATGAAACCAGCATAGCTTTGAAACAGCGTCGGCATTTCTAGTTCTCAATTTCATTTGTATCCACAAGCTAAATTTCAAGCACGGGGGCTCTAGAAGCCACAACCACCATCACAAAGCTCAGCTACAAACAAAGTGGAAGTGAAGCGATTCAAACGACCGTATTAGGAAATCTTTTCATCGAAAGCGGGAAGAAAAGCAAAAGAATCTAGGAAAGTAAGCAAGCAAGCCAGCAAAGCCCAAATTCTCCCTCCGATTCAGGAGAAAATCGAGCCGCCATTTCCAATCAACGGAGAACAAAAGAAAGAAATGTACAACAAATGCCACACTCGAATCGGATCACAGCCCGGAGACTCCCCTTTCTCGCAAGCGAACGAGACCGGGAGCTCGGAGAAGTGTGCTGTTTCCCCGCGAAGAGATGAATTCGCGCCGTAATTAGGAGGCAAAGAAACAGGAAAGCCAAGTAGAAGAAGAGCCTTACTTGTTGGCGTCGGAGGACTCGCCGTTGTTGGCTGATCGGGGACCGGGAATTGCTGAACGGAGGCGAGTTAGAGCTGAGCTGCTGCAGCTCCAGAGGAGTTGACTGAGGGGGTGATGTTTAACTGTTCGGCGTCGGTCGGAGAGTATAGGGAAAGGTTGCAGGCAGGCAGCAGACGGCTGATTAGACAGAAAATGATGAAACGGTGCTGTTTTGGAGGAAGGAATTACCGGACGGTGTGACAGACAAATGAGAACCAATTTGGGTGGGTTGTTGGGTATTTGGCATGTGTTATATTAAATGGGCCTGTTGACAAAGGTTCATGGGCCTTCATAATCACAACTGCAGTGCTCATGATAATTTTCGAGCCCACAAATAAAATACTGCTGCCAATTCTGATGAGAACCTGATTTGTCGCCTCGTCGACTATTAGCGAGGTTCGACTATGTAGCTTGCGTTTTTAGCCTCTAGACTAGTTGTATGGGTACTATTATCGATTCGTTGTATAGTTGTATTGATGTGATGCAAATGCTCCCGAGGCAACTACTAATGTGAATCAAGTAAATTATGTGTAAATTTGTTGGAGTATCAATAAAAGAAAAAAGAAAGCTACTAATGCAAAGGATACGCCACTTTGTTAGGTTACAAGTGGTACACTACTAAACATACAATCAATCATACAAAACTATGTAAGACATAATTATTGGGAGCTTTAACTCTACTAACTAACTTCGGCCTGTATGCTAAAATTTAATGGTTGTCAACAGAAATAGGAGTGCCACAAGGTTAGAAAAAAATAGTAGCACGGAACAATAAGCGCAAGCGGCACAGCAACGCCAGAAAGCTCCTGTTGGCTTGCTACTGCTGGTATCTGTACACTGAAAAAAACTGCTCACCCAAAGGGATTGAGATATCCCAGAGGAGAGAGCGATTACAAGGCCGAATCAGGGGACGAGAAACCGCCTCGTCTCGTGCCTCGAAGGCGCGCGGTAAAATCGCTCTTCGCAACTCTGCAAGAACGCCCTACAAACCACAAAAGCCATGAACGTAAAGAGAATACATCAGCGTCTGCTACAAGCTTGATTCCCCTTTCATTTCAACAACTGGGCAGATGGTCCTCGGACTACGCGATTTAGAGGTACGAAATGAATGTAAGCGGGCATCGTTTCAGGGTTTCACAATCTAACTGGAGGCAGCCATGGCAATAAGGACATTGAGAATGGAGATACACGAGACTGAAACAGAGTGCAGAATGGTAAACTGGTAGCCTAGGTCCGTAAAACCCGGTTTACTAGACAAGTTTTTTACTCCCGGCTGGTTGCTTGGCTGATTGGAAATTTCGGCGGAGAGGTAAACACAATTTGGCATTAATGCTCTCTCCACTTATTACGTTGTTAAGGGCATTCTGGACCTTACGATATCAGCACCTCAAAACTTGAAAGGTCTGTACCCAAAGTTTGCTCAAGTTACTGGCACAGAATGACCAAAAGTCACTTAAATACGGGTACGAGAAGATTTTAAGCACAGGCAGATGCGTAAGTTCAGTGACTACTAAACCTAAAGAATACACAACGAACACTCGACATGGTCCGATTTTCTGATCGTGTGATACGCTTCTGCTGGTTTTGTACTATTGGGATATTCCATTCAAAATGGCAGCTTTCAGTAGCGAACCCGATACTGGAACAAGTTTATAGAGGCAAGAAAACCATCACATAGTGTTGAGCCATCTAATTACTATTTTATGTTCATCAAATACATGTTTGATTCCTCATAAAGCAAGCTCTAGCAATGAGTAGTACAACTACATCTGGTGCGTACAGTTAAGAGGAGGCTTAACCACCGAAACTCTATATATACGACTAGCACTGATCTATCTACGAACTGTAGCTCCACCAAAACCACAAAAAGGCAGAAAAATGGATGACACTTGGACCAAAGAAACGTAAACGCAAACAAAAATCATGAGTGGGATAGTATGCATCCCAGAAGTGACGGCCAAAACTCGCATGCATAACAAATAGATCATGGAAGCGAAAGAAAACAGATATAAGGAATCATATCAGCGCTCATGCGCAGCAAGTTTAAGCAGACAAGTTAAACATCAATCCATAGAAGTTGGATGCCATGTCAAGAAGGTAAAGTCTAGAACCATGATCACTAAAACTTATCCTACCATGCCTTTAAATAGTATTATAGTTCTCTAATCATCCTAATGTGCAAAAGATAGTATTCTCAGATTCTTATGTGCCTACCTTAAGAAACTCACAAGAACAAAAGCCAGAATTAACTTAATCTGATTAAGGTCCTACCCAAGACCGATCTAAGAGAAGTACAAGGAAAATAACAAAAAGAACAAGATTGGCCATCACCAGAGGAAAATAACAGCAGCGCACACAGGAGAGACAACAAGCTGGTAACTTCAGGAAAACAAGCAAGGTAACAAAGTAGGACATTTACCAAGATGAAGAAAGAACTGTCATTGCTGGTTTCCTGATCCAGGAGCAGCTGAAGCATTCGTTTGTTGCTGCTGTTGTATTTGAAGGAGAAGGTTAGCAGCAAACTGCAATGTCGACTGGTACCTCTGGTTCTTGTCAACTTCAGTCTCCGACGTGGTTTGAACACCAGCTCCAGAATGCTGGGCTTGCAACTGCGCCGCCTGACCCTGGTGATCCACAGCTGTCTGTGGAATCCCAGACTGTGTTGGTAAATAATTAGCAACTGGAGCATGACTATGCGGCATTGGAACAGGGTTATGAGGCTGCTGAACAACAGATGGGCTGTATGGAACAGGAGCATCAGATGACCCATGGGCCATTCCATAATTCTTTTGAGTTCCGTAGGGATCAAGCTGATGATATTGCTGCTGGTTGACCTGGGGAGGGTAAACCATCTGTCCACTCTGAGACACCGCAGGAAAACTGTTCATTGGCCTAGATTGAGCTGCCACCTGATGTGATAAGTTCACATTGGATTGAGCTGTCATCTGCTGGTTGACCTGGGGATATGGCTGATACTGAGACTGAAACTGTGCCTGAGAATTGGGTTGAGCACCAAGTTGTTGAAGATTATTGTTATTATTGGGGTTTCCACCATAATAGTCAGGCTTCCATCCCTGTGGGGGAGTTCCAGCTGAAGAAAAATGCCCCGCGGTCGAAACACCCGGTGCTGGCTGACTACTTTCAGGCCCAGGGACTTGGGCTTTTGCAGGCAGTAGGGATGTAAGAGAGGCTATCAGCTCTGGTGTCAAGGAAACTCCAGTTGTTGATACTGAAGCAGCATTGTTGGTAGCAGGATAATCGCGTGAAACTGACGCTTGTGATGGGGATTCAGCAACCGCTGGATAAAACTGTTTTGAAGGAAGCTTTGATGATTCACCATGCATCACCCCATTATAATCTAGTGGTAACCCATGTTGTTCCTCGTTCGGATGATGATGGTGAGCATTGTAGTCAGCTTCAGGAGGAAGCTGATGATCCCTAGCAAAATCATGAGAGAGGTGCTGCATTGGGTGATGTTGCAGTTGTACATTGCTACTGGGCAACTGCTGTTGTGGCGGCAGCTTCAGAACTACACCATAGAGACGTTCAGGTCCCAGGACTTTCAAGACATCCGTCAAGAAATCTGATGGTGGGACCAGGAAAAGTGTGGTGCCGTCGTCAAACTTGGCAACGCCAGCACGGTTTTTGGAGCCCAAGTAGCGGAGGAATTCGGTGTAGGAAGCGAAATCGTCTTCACTGTCTGGTAAGAAATAGACAATGTTGAATCCTATAGCTTCGGCATAGTGTTTTGCCAGCATGTCCAGTCCTGTTCTGGCTGAGCAATTGACAACTTCAGGACTGCAAAATAGAAACGTCCAAAATTAGACTAAAATATTTTGGTTGTTCTAAGCGTATTAAGGGTGTACTTAGTTCGGAGTATTTGTGACTTGATGTTGGTGAATGACTGAAGATACTACAAATTCAATCAGACATTGGATCATAACTCAGCACATCAATGGATTTGGACAGGATAAGAGCATAGACAGACAACCAAGGATTTAAAAAAGAGAATGAATAAAAGCAAAACACAATAAAACACATACAAAAGCAACCATCCCACACTGATTGCAGTCTCAAGTGTAAACTCATACATCTATCTTGTTACTAAGGTTGCCTGTTTCCAATCACAATTCTAGTTTTTCTAGATAACTTTCATGTGTAACCTCACTAAAATTGGCTAAAGAAATCAATGGAGAGCTCAATACTCACAAATCAGATTCCATAAGGTCCCCAATAGGGACACAACGAGCTTGACAGACTGGCGTCCCGCCCTTGGCAATGACACCACGCCAAATAAAATCTGCTTCACCCCTTGCACTATTGTTTCCAGACGCATTTCCAAAACGATTCAAGGCGATTTTATCACTTAGAGGACCAAGTGCATGTGATCTGCTTAATCCTAATCCACGATTATCAACGTTATTTCTTAGTGGGAAAGAATCATCATCTGGAGTTCCGATCCTCGATCTTTTCGGCTCCCTCTGATACTGATTCGTATCAAGCACATCCCACCCACTAGAACCAGACTTCATCGGTGGCCTGATCCTAGACCCAGGAGAAGGAAGGATGCCAGCTGTCGGTGGAGAGGGCCTTCTCCAGGTTGGAGCCAACTGGGGATTCGAGCTTAAGTGATCCAAACCACCACCTTGAGGGCCAAAAGGAGGCTGCAAAAAGTTTCCACCAGGTCCGCCTATTGACTGCTGCTGATAATCAAGCATCTCCAATTGCCCAGTTCCAAACTCATCTGACCTTCCTTTTATTCCGGGGTAGTAATTAGCATATTCTTTCCCAGGAGCTGACCCGCTGCTCGAAAACATGATTGTTATTCGAGGATCGTTAAATAGGCGCCCTTGCAAACCTTCTTTGGCCCTACGAGCTTCATCAACACTCCTGAATTCTACAAATGAGTAGTGCCTTGAAGGGAAACTCTTGATTCTCTCAATCTCACCAAATAAAATCATGGCATTGTGGAGCATTTGTTCGTCGATCTGCAGAGCAGGAGGATAACCTACCCACAAAACTTTACTAGGTTGACCTTCTCTTCGCCCACCAGAGGACATGGGTTGCTGCAAAATAGAAAGACATAAAAGTCAAAAGAAGCATCTTTTAAAAGTGCCAGACTATCATTTCTGTTTAAACAGAAGAGTCCACGAGCAAATTCTATGCACAACAGTTGAAAGGAAATGAGAAAGAGCATGAATTTGCAGTCCTATTAGACCAGGCAGCAGAAGAATCACCTGAGATCGCCTTAGTCCGGGGTGTGTGACGGAGTACTGATTCTCTCTTGAATCGCGATAGTCGTGGGCGTATTCCTGTGAAACAGAGAGCGTTAGCTGACTTCACTAGCTTGATAGAAAGCTTATCATAAAAAGTTATGAACGAGGAGGGCCATATGAATATGATATCAATCAACACCTCATCCAAGTAGAAACTAGAAATCTGGTGTCAATATATCTAATTATAATAGTTACATTTACACTTGTTAGCGCATAATTTGGAAGATTGGGATGCATAGTCTTACTCTTCTCGAAGGTTGAGACCGAAGGAAATCCACGCGAATCTGTTCACCAGCAATTCGCTTCCCGTTAATGCTTTTCATGGCTACTACAGCGTCTTCCAGCTTACAAAATTCAACAAATGCAGTGTTCCGATCTCTGAGAAACTTGAAATCTTCGAGTTTACCAAAGCTCTGGAACTCTTCCTCCAACTGCAGCTTGGATAATGTGGGGCTGATACCCCCGACCCATAACGACTTGGAAGGCTTGGCCTGGAACCAATAAACTCGATTAAGTATAACTGAAAGGAAAGGATTCCAACATTGCAAATGAAGTGCTTTGGTGGCTCGATTGTATATACTGAAGGAATGATTGGAAAGCATTGCTATCCCACACACAAGGAAGAACCAAGTACTAATAATCACTTGAAACATCAAACTTTCTTAATGGTTTAAGATATAATTCCTAAGGGAAACCCTACTTGTTTTTCGTCAGGAGCAACGATCTGTCCTAATGTATCATTTTGAAGGGAATCCGGGCTACCAACTTATCTGCAAAAGGAATACCGCTGGGATTTTTGGGGTGCCATGTAACAACTGCCGTGAAAAAAAGCTCTTGGAGATTCAACATTGCCATTATTTGATCTCCATAGAGGAAATGGCAGAAACTTCATCGCTGTAAGTATTCGATGGATTACGCGTTGTAAGATGGGTTCTTCCATCTCTGGGATTGACTCAATATGGCAAGCAATACGCTAATAGACCGAAGATGAAACGGACAGATTTGCATGAACACATATGACTAAGCTGGAGATCGCATTGCAGCACAACCATGACTAGCTATAAGCAACCTCGATTTTTCGGCTTAATCGCGCAATGCCTGCGATAATCTGGGTTTAGGACGGAAGCAATCAGCCGTAGAATTGCACACTCTTCTTTTGCGTAGAGAAGGAAGCGATTGATTGGCCATGGCTTTTTGATTGATTTTCTCGTTCGGTTCGAGAAGAGGATGGTTGATTCTCGATCGTGTTGAATGAATGGCCAGTGGCAGTCTGCCATAATTGAATTGATCGTGCGGCAGTTCGGATAGGCTGATTCCAGAACGACGAATCATCGGATTAGGAATTCGATCGAAATTGGGCAGATTCGGATTACCACGGATTGCATAAAACCACACAGGAATTCTTGCAAATTGGATATGTTGAAATTGAATCAAAGCTTTAACCATTCCTGAACATAAACAGCTAATACTACAACAATTACAGACGCCACGGAATCGGGAAACAATCGAAAAAAGCAGAGTTCCGATCTTAAAACCTAACGATGAGGGAGCCAGAGGAGAAGAAGATAAGACGAAAAGAGAGCTACGAACCGGTCTGGCAAACTCGATCTTCAGCGGCGAGCCGTGGATCGCCGCGCCTTGGAGGGCCTCCTTGGCGGCTTTGGCGTCCTCGACGCGCTTGAAGAAGACGAAGGCGTAGCTCCTGGACGAGTAAGAAGTGACGCTGTCGAGGGCGCCGTACTTGGCGAAGAGCGACATGAGATCCGAGTCCGTCACGTCCTGCGCCAGGTTCCCCACCCAGAGGTTGTTCGACGGAGCCGAAGCGCCGTCGTCGGACTCCCGCTGCGATTGCCGCTTCATCGTTGGAGAAAATCCCCGACGAGTTAGGGTTCCGATGGAGAAAAAGGCGCACCGAGAAAGAGAGGGATGGAGGGAGAAAGGGAGAAAATTTTCTTGTTGCTGTTTTTCAAGTTTGGAAGGATGGAAGAGGTGGTCACAGCCGAATTTGACGATAAGGATCAAGGACGATGAGAATTTACGGTGTACAATTTGCTCTGGTGTGGGCTGCGGCATGGCCCTGCCCAGGCCCAGGCCCAGTTCAGGCTTCCGAATTTCATACCAGACCCTCAAGTTTGATATACTTTCAAATACCGGCTTGAATTTGGTGGCCACTCGTGCTCTGTTTTTGTTGCCTCGAACGATTTTGAGGTTCGACTTTGTTCTTTTGTTTAGTGGTAGGCAAGTTTTGTTGTAAGCCTACGGATTTTTGTATGTTCCTCTTTTCAAGAGTGATCTAATGACAAAAAAAAAAAATACCGGCTTGACTTTTATAGTATGACATTTACTTCTAGAGTTCTTTTAGGGAATGTTAAATTGTTAGTTTGCTATATGTTGTTCATCGAAATGTTTGGTATTGTTGAGTACATCATCGAGATGGTCTGTGTACGTTTAGATTGAATGAATTCGGTTATGTCCTAATGCCATGATACGAGAATACATTCTGGTCACAGCGTAGAGAAAAGAGGACCAAAATCTAGCCTACAAGGCCGTTGGTTCACTGACATAGTAACATGTCATAATTCTTCCAACGCCGAGAAGTACCAAACCAGAAAACGGATTCAATATGGAACCCACTCTCTTAGCTATAGCAAAGCTAAGTCTAGTAAAAATGTACTCAAGCACCTGCATTTTGAGACATGGAGATTTTTTGGAACCGCATGAGATAAAGCCATGCATTTCGTATCCAACTCTCCGAGTGAAGAAAAGGAAAAAGGCAAGAAAACGTACACAACCGCCGTGCATCAAGTCCTGATATTCATATTAGGCACACTTTTGCTAAGAAGCATCAACAACAACTCAATCAGACACAAAAACCAATAATCTGAGATTTCTTTACAAATTGCTATCACAACCAAATCTAAGGAAAATGGTGTTTCAAAAAATGGTCATTCCAAAAATCACCCGAAATCGGTGATGGTACCCCTTTGGAATCTGCAAAAAATGGCCCGTAAATATTTCGCCCGAATCGGTGTTTAATAGGATTATTCATCCCTAGGGAATAGCTTCAGGCTGAATCCGTGATCTGCAGCCTTCAAAATCTATGGAAAATGGCATTTCGAAATAAACGCCTAAAAATTATGAAAATGCCATCCGAAAAAATTCGATCAAATTTCCGCCCGAATCGGCCATTTGTAGACTTCATCATTGCTGGAGAGTACCCTAGGGTCAAATCTGTGATCCGTCGCCTTCAAAATCCAACAAAATTGGCCATTCCAGAAATCGCCCGAAATCGGTGAAGGTACCCCTTTGGAATCTACGAAAAATGGCCCCGGAAATATTCCGCCCGAATCGGTGTTTAATAGGCTTATTCATCACTGGGGAATAGCCTCAGGCTGAATCCGTGATCTGCAGCCTTCAAAATCTATGGAAAATGGCCTTTCGAAATAAACGCCTAAAAATTACGAAAATGTCATCCGGAAAAATTCGACTAAATTTTGGCACAAATCTGCCATTAGTAGACTTCATCATTGATGGAGAGTACCCTAGGGCCGAAACTGTGATCTGTCGCATTCAAAATCCAAGAAAAATTGCCATTCTAGAAATCGCCCGAAATCGGGGATGGTAACCCTTTGAAATCTGCGAAAAATGGCCCCGGAAATATTCCGCCCGAATCGGTGTTTAATAGGCTTATTCATCCCTGGGGAATAGCCTCAGGCTGAATCCGTGATCTGCAGCCTTCAAAATCTATGAAAATGACCTTTCGAAATAAACGGCTAAAAATTACGAAAATGCCATCCGAAAATTTCGAACAAATTTCCGCCCAAATCGGCCATTAGTAGACTTCATCATTGCTGGAGAGTACCCTAGGGCCGAATCTGTGATCCATCGACTTCAAAATCCAAGAAAAATGGCCATTCCAGAAATCGCCCGAAATCGGTGATGGTACCCCATTGGAATCTGCCAAAAATGACCCCGGGAATATTCTGCCCGAATCGGTGTTTAATAGACTTATTCATCCCTGGGGAACAGCCTCAGGCTGAATCCGTGATCTGCAACCTTCGTAATCTATGGAAAATGGCCTTTCGAAATAAACGCCTAAAAATTACGAAAATGCCATCCGGAAAAATTCGACCAAATTTCGGCCCAAATCTGCCATTAGTAGACTTCATCATTGCTGGAGAGTACCCTATGGCCGAATCTGTGATCCGTCGCCTTCAAAATCCAAGAAAAATGGCCATTCAAGAAATCGCCCGAAATCGGTGATGGTACCCCTTTCGAATCTGCCAAAAATGGCCTCTGAAGTATTCCGCCCGAATCGATGTTTAATAGACTTATTCATCCCTGCGGAATAGACTCAGGCGTAATCCGTGATCTGCAGCCTTCAAAATCCAAGAAAAATGGCCATTCCTGAAATCGCCCGAAATAGGTGATGGTACCCATTTAGAATGTGCCAAAAATGACCCCTGAAGTATTCTGCCCGAATCGGTGTTTAATAGACTTATTAATCCCTGGGGAATAGCCTCACGCTGAATCCGTGATCTGCAGCCTTCAAAATCTATGGAAAATGGCCTTTCAAAATAAACGACTAAAAATTACGAAAATACCATCCGGAAAAATTCGACCAAATTTTCGCCCAAATCGGCCATTAGTAGACTTCATCATTGCTGGAGAGTACCCTAGGGCCAAATCTGTGATCCGTCGCTTTCAAAATCCAATAAAAATGGCCATTCCAGAAATCGCCCGAAATCGGTGAAGGTACCCCTTTCGAATCTGCCAAAAATGGCCCCTGAAGTATTCAGCCCGAATCGGTGTTTAATAGACTTATTCATCCCTGGGGAATAGCCTCAGGCTGAATTCGTGATCTGCACCCTTCAAAATCCAACAAAAATGGTTATTCCAGAAATTGCCCGAAATCTGTGATGGTACCCCTTTGGAATCTGCCAAAAATGGCCCCGGAAGTATTCCGCCCGAATCGGTGTTTAATAGACTTATTCATCCATGGGGAATAGCCTCAGGCTGAATCCGTGATCTGAAGCTTTCAAAATCTATGGAATATGGCCTTTCGAAATAAACGCCTAAAAATTACGGAAATGCCATCCGGAAAAATTAGATCAAATTTCCGCCCAAATCGGCCATTAGTAGACTTCATCATTGCTGGAGAGTACCATAGGGCCGAATCTGTGATCCGTCGCCTTCAAAATCCAATAAAAATGGCCAATCCAGAAATCGCCCGAAATCGGTGATGGTACCCCTTTGGAATCTGCCAAAAATGGCCCCTGAAGTATTTCGCCCGAATCGGTGTTTAATAGACTTATTCATCCTTGGGGAATAGCCTCAAGCTGAATCTGTGATCTGCAGCCTTCAAAATCAAAGAAAAATGGCCATTCCAGAAATAGCCCGAAATCGGTGATGGTACCCCTTTGGAATTTGCCAAAAATGGCCCCTGAAGTATTCCGCCCGAATCAGTGTTTAATAGACTTATTCATCCCTGGGGAATAGCCTCAGGCTGAATCCGTGATCTGCAGCCTTCAAAATCCAAGAAAAATGGCCATTCCAGAAATCGCCTGAAATCGGTGATGGTACCCCTTTGAAACCTGCCGAAAATGGCCCCTGAAGTATTCTGCCCGAATCAATGTTTAATAGACTTATTTATCCCTGGGAAATAGCCTCAGGCTGAATCCGTGATCTGCAGCCTTCAAAATCTATGGAAAATGGCCTTTCGAAATAAACGGCTAAAAATTACGAAAATACCATCCGGAAAAATTCGGCTAAATTTTCACCCAAATCGGCCATTAGTAGACTTCATCATTGCTGGAGAGTACCCTAGGGCCAAATCTGTGATCCGTCGCTTTCAAAATCCAATAAAAATGGCCATTCCAGAAATCGCCCGAAATCGGTGATGGTACCCCTTTGGAATCTGCCAAAAATGGCCCCTGAAGTATTCCGCCCGAATCGGTGTTTAATAGACTTATTCATCCCTGGGGAATAGTCTCAGACTCAATCCGTGATCTGCACCCTTCAAAATCCAAGAAAAATGGTCATTCCATAAATTGCCCGAAATCGGTGATTGTACCCCTTTGGAATCTGCAAAAAATGGCCCCGGAAGTATTCCGCACGAATCGGTGTTTAATAGACTTATTCATCCCTGGGGAATAGCCTCAGGCTGAATCCGTGATCTGCAGCCTTCAAAATCTATGGAATATGGCCTTTCGAAATAAACGCCTAAAAATTACGAAAATGCCATCCGGAAAAATTAGATCAAATTTCTGCCCAAATCGGCCATTAGTAGACTTCATCATTACTTGAGAGTACCCTAGGGCCGAATCTGTGATCCGCCGTCTTCAAAATCCAATAAAAATGGCCAATCCAGAAATCGCCCGAAATCGGTGATGGTACCCCTTTGGAATCTGCCAAAAATGGCCCCTAAAGTATTCCGCCCGAATCGGTGTTTAATAGACTTATTCATCCCTAGGTAATAGCCACAAGCTGAATCTGTGATCTGCAGCCTTCAAAATCCAAGAAAAATGGCCATTCCAGAAATAGCCCGAAATCGGTGATGGTACCCCTTTGGAATCTGCCAAAAATGGCCCCTGAAGTATTCCACCCGAATCGGTGTTTAATAGACTTATTCACCCTGGGGAATAGCCTCAGGCTGAATCCGTGATCTGCAGCCTTCAAAATCTATGGAAAATGGCCATTCCAGAAATCGCCCAAAATCGGTGATGGTACCCCTTTGGAATCTGCCAAAAATGGCTCCTGAAGTATTCCGCCTGAATCGGTGTTTAATAGACTTATTCATCCCTGGGGAATAGCCTCAGGCTGAATACGTGATCTGCAGCCTTCAAAATCCAAGAAAAATGGCAATTCGAGAAATCGCCCGAAATCGGTGATGGTACCCCTTTGAAACCTGCCGAAAATGGCCCCTGAAGTATTCTGCCCGAATCAATGTTTAATAGACTTATTCATCCCTGGGCAATAGCCTCAAGCTGAATCCGTGATCTGCAGCCTTCAAAATCTATGGAAAATGGCCTTTCCAGAAAACGATCGAAATCGATGATGGTACCCCTTTTGAATCTGCCAAAAATGGCCCTTGAAGTATTCCGCCCGAATCGGTGCTTAATAGACTTATTCATCCCTGGGGAATAGCCTCAGGCTGAATCCGTGATCTGCAGCCTTCAAAATCTTATGTAAAATGCCATTCCAGAAATCGTCCTAAATTGGTGATGGTACCCCTTTGGAATCTGCAAAAAATGGCCCCTAAAGTATTCCGCCCGAATCGGTGTTTAATAGACTTATTCATCCCTGGGGAATAGCCTGAGGCTAAATCCGAGATCTGCATCCTTCAAAATCTATGTAAATGGCCATTCCAGAAATTGCCCGAAATCTGTGATGGTACCCCTTTGGAATCTGCCAAAAATGGCTCCTGAAGTATTCCGCCTGAATCGATGTTTAATAGACTTATTCATCCCTGGGGAATAGCCTCAGGCTGAATCCGTGATCTGCAGCCTTCAAAATCTAAGAAAAATGGTCATTCCAGGAAACGCCCCAAATCGGTGATGGTACCCCTTTGGAATCTGCCAAAATTGGCCCCTGAAGTATTCCGCCCGAATCGGTGTTTAATAGACTTATTCATCCCTGGGGAATAGCCTCAGGCTGAATCCGTGATCTGCAACCTTCAAAATCTATGGAAAATGGCCATTCCAGAAATCGCCCGAAATCGGTGATGGTACCCCTTTGGAATCTGCCAAAAATGGCTCCTGAAGTATTCCGCCTGAATCGATGTTTAATAGACTTATTCATCCCTGGGGAATAGCCTCAGGCTGAATCCGTGATCTGCAGCCTTCAAAATCTAAGAAAAATGGTCATTCCAGGAAACGCCCGAAATCGGTGATGGTACCCCTTTGGAATCTGCCAAAATTGGCCACTGAAGTATTCCGCCCGAATCGGTGTTTAATAGACTTATTCATCCCTGGGGAATAGCTTCAAGTTGACTCCGTGATCTGCAGCCTTCAAAATCTATGGAAAATGGCCATTCCAAAAATCGATCAAAATCGGTGATGGTACCCCTTTGGAATCTGCCAAAAATGGCCCCTGAAGTATTCCGCCCGAATCGGTGTTTAATAGACTTATTCATCCCTGGGGAATAGCCTCAGGCTGAATCCGTGATCTGCAACCTTCAAAATCTATGGAAAATGGCCATTCCAGAAATCGATCAAAATCGGTGATGGTACCCCTTTGGAATCTGCCAAAAATGGCCCCTGAAGTATTCCGCCCGAATCGGTGTTGAATAGACTTATTCATCCCTAGGGAATAGCCTCAGGCTGAATCCGTGATCTGCAGCCTTCAAAATCTATGGAAAATGGCCATTCCAGAAATCGCCCGAAATCGGTGATGGTACCCCTTTGGAATCTGCCAAAAATGGCCACTGAAGTATTCCGCCCGAATCGGTGTTTAATAGACTTATTCATCCCTGGGGAATAGCCTCAGGCTGAATCCGTGATCTGCAGCCTTCAAAATCTAAGAAAAATGGTCATTCCACGAAACGCCCGAAATCGGTGATGGTACCCCTTTGGAATCTGCCAAAAATGGCCCCTGAAGTATTCCGCCCGAATCGGTGTTTAATAGACTTATTCATCTCTAGGGAATAGCCTCAGGCTGAATCCGTGATCTGCAGCCTTCAAAATCTATGGAAAATGGCCATTCCAGAAATCGATCAAAATCGGTGATGGTACCCCTTTGGAATCTGCCAAAAATGGCCACTGAAGTATTCCGCCAGAATCGGTGTTTAATAAACTTATTCATCCCTGGGGAATAGCCTCCGGCTGAATCCGTGATCTGCAGCCTTCAAAATCTATTCAAAATGCCATTCCAGAAATCGCCAGAAATCGGTGATGGTACCCCTTTGGAATCTGCCAAAAATGGCCCCTGAAGTATTACGGCCGAATCATTGTTTAATAGACTTATTCATCCCTGGGGAATAGCCTCAGGCTGAATCCGTGATCTGCAGCCTTCAAAATCTATGTAAAATGCCATTCCAGAAATCGCCCAAAATCGGTGATGGTACCCCTTTTGAATCTGCCAAAAATGGCCCATGAAGTATTCTGCCCGAATCGGTGTTTAATAGACTTATTCATCCCTGGGGAATAGCCTCAGGCTGAATCCGTGATTTGCAGCCTTCAAAATCTAAGAAAAATGGTCATTCCACGAAACGCCCGAAATCGGTGATGGTACCCCTTTGGAATCTGCCAAAAATGGCCCCAGAAGTATTCCGCCCGAATCGGTGTTTAATAGACTTATTCATCCCTAGGGAATAGCCTCAGGCTGAATTCGTGATCTGCAGCCTTCAAAATCTATGGAAAATGGCCTTTCCAGAAATCGATCGAAATCGGTGATGGTACCCCTTTGGAATCTGCCAACAATGGCCACTGAAGTATTCCGCCAGAATTGGTGTTTAATAGACTTATTCATCCCTGGGAAATAGCCTCAGGCTGACTCCGTGATCTGCAGCCTTCAAAATATATGGAAAATGGCCATTCCAGAAATCGCCCGAAATCGGTGATGGTACCCCTTTGGAATCTGCCAAAAATGGCCCTTGAAGTATTCCGCCCGAATCGTTGTTTAATAGACTTATTCATCCTTGGGGAATAGCCTCAGGCTGAATTCGTGATCTACAGCCTTCAAAATCTATGGAAAATGGCCATTCGAGAAATCGCCCGAAATCGGTGATGGTACCCCTTTGGAATCTGCCAAAAATGGCCACTGAAGTATTCCGCCAGAATCGGTGTTTAATAGACTTATTCATCCCTGGGGAATAGCCTCAGGCTGAATTCGTGATCTACAGCCTTCAAAATCTATGGAAAATGGCCATTCCAGAAATCGCCCGAAATCGGTGATGGTACCCCTTTGGAATCTGCCAAAAATGTCCCCTGAAGTATTCCGCCCGAATCGGTGTTTAATAGACTTATTCATCCCTGGGGAATAGCATCAGGCTGAATTCGTGATCTGCAGTCTTCAAAATCTATCGAAAATGGCCTTTCCAGAAATCGATCAAAATCGGTGATGGTACCCCTTTGGAATCTGCCAAAAATGGGCAATGAATTATTCCGCCAGAATTGGTGTTTAATAGACTTATTCATCCCTGGGGAATAGCCTCAGGCTGACTCCGTGATCTGAAGCCTTGAAAATTTATGGAAAATGGCCATTCCAGAAATAGATCGAAATCGGTGATGGTAACCCTTTGGAATCTGCCAAAAATAGCCACTGAAGTATTCCGCCAGAATTGGTGTTTAATAGACTTATTCATCCCTGGGGAATAGCCTCAGGCTGATTTCGTGATCTGCAGCCTTCAAAATCTATGGAAAATGGCCATTCCAGAAATCGCCCGAAATCGGTGATGGTCCCCCTTTGGAATCTGCCAAAAATGTCCCCTGAAGTATTCCGCCCGAATCGGTGTTTAATAGACTTATTCATCCCTGGGGAATAGCCTCAGGCTGAATTAGTGATCTGCAGCCTTCAAAATCTATGGAAAATGGCCATTCCAGAAATCGATCGAAATCGGTGATGGTACCCCTTTGGAATCTGCCAAAAATGGCCACTGAAGTATTCCGCCAGAATTGGTGTTTAATAGACTTATTCATCCCTGGGAAATAGCCTCAGGCTGACTCCGTGATCTGCAGCCTTCAAAATCTATGGAAAATGGCCATTCCAGAAATTGCCCGAAATCGGTGATGGTACCCCTTTGGAATCTGCCAAAAATGGCCCCTGAAGTATTCCGCCCGAATCGGTGTTTAATAGACTTATTCATCCCTGGGGAATAGCCTCAAGCTGAATCCGTGATCTGCAGCCTTCAAAATCTATGGAAAATGGACATTCCAGAAATCGCCCGAAATCGGTGATGGTACCCCTTTGGAATCTGCCAAAAATGGCCCCTGAAGTATTCCGCCCGAATCGGTATTTAATAGACTTATTCATCCCTGGGGAATAGCCTCAGGCTGAATTCGTGATCTGCAGCCTTCAAAATCTATGGAAAATGGTCATTCCAGCAATCGATCGAAATCGGTGATGGTACCCCTTTGGAATCTGCCAAAAATGGCCCCTGAAGTATTCCGCCCGAATCGGTGTTTAATAGACTTATTCATCCCTGGAGAATAGCCTCAGGCTGAATCCGTGATCTGCAGCCTTCAAAATCTATGGAAAATGGTCATTCCAGGAAACGCCCGAAATCGGTGATGGTACCCCTTTAGAATCTGCCAAAAATGGCCCCTGAAGTATTCCGCCCGAATCGGTGTTTAATAGACTTATTCATCCCCGGGGAATAGCCTCAGGCTGAATCCGTGATCTGCAGCCTTCAAAATCTATGGAAAATGGTCATTCCAGGAAACGCCCGAAATCGGTGATGGTACCCCTTTGGAATCTGCCAAAATTGGCCCCTGAAGTATTCCGCCCGAATCGGTGTTTAATAGACTTATTCATCCCTGGGGAATAGCCTCAGGCTGAATCCGTGATCTGCAACCTTCAAAATCTATGGAAAATGGCCATTCCAGAAATCGCCCGAAATCGGTGATGGTACCCCTTTGGAATCTGCCAAAAATGGCTCCTGAAGTATTCCGCCTGAATCGATGTTTAATAGACTTATTCATCCCTGGGGAATAGCCTCAGGCTGAATCCGTGATCTGCAGCCTTCAAAATCTAAGAAAAATGGTCATTCCAGGAAACGCCCGAAATCGGTGATGGTACCCCTTTGGAATCTGCCAAAATTGGCCACTGAAGTATTCCGCCCGAATCGGTGTTTAATAGACTTATTCATCCCTGGGGAATAGCTTCAAGTTGACTCCGTGATCTGCAGCCTTCAAAATCTATGGAAAATGGCCATTCCAAAAATCGATCAAAATCGGTGATGGTACCCCTTTGGAATCTGCCAAAAATGGCCCCTGAAGTATTCCGCCCGAATCGGTGTTTAATAGACTTATTCATCCCTGGGGAATAGCCTCAGGCTGAATCCGTGATCTGCAACCTTCAAAATCTATGGAAAATGGCCATTCCAGAAATCGATCAAAATCGGTGATGGTACCCCTTTGGAATCTGCCAAAAATGGCCCCTGAAGTATTCCGCCCGAATCGGTGTTGAATAGACTTATTCATCCCTAGGGAATAGCCTCAGGCTGAATCCGTGATCTGCAGCCTTCAAAATCTATGGAAAATGGCCATTCCAGAAATCGCCCGAAATCGGTGATGGTACCCCTTTGGAATCTGCCAAAAATGGCCACTGAAGTATTCCGCCCGAATCGGT